CTTGGTTTAGGATTCCAAACATGGGATTATTTTGTCAAGAGCATAACAAACATTCATATATATTCTTCTTCTAGATTCACCGTTGTTATGCCTTCTTTCAGTCTCTGTATACGTGTATGTAAGTGTGTATCAGATATACACATGTAGATAGGAATATAATACACATTTTTCCCAGAACCATTTGAAAGTAAATTGCAGACATGGAGTTTCACCTCTAAATACTTCAACCTGCATTTTCGAAGAACAAGGGAGATTCTTTTATCCCATGCTGTAATATTTTATGAAGAAAATTAACAGTAGTCTCATTTTATCAACGAATATGAAGTCTAGAATCCATCAGAATTCCTAAATGTCTCCAAAATGTTTTTTATTTTATTACTTTTTACAATTTAGTGGAGCACCTGGGTGGCTCAGTTGGTTAAATGTTGGACTTTGGCTTAGGTCATGAACTCAGGGTTCGTGAGTTTGAGCCCTGTGTTGGGCTGTGTACTAATAGCTTGAAGCCTGGAGCCTGCTTAGGATTCTGTGTCTCCCTCTCTCTCTGTCCCTCCCTCACTCGCACTCTGTCTCTCTCTCTTGAAAATAAACATTAAAAAAATTTTAAATTTAGGATCAAATTGAAGTTTATGCATCATGTATTTTGGTTATTAAGTCTCAGTAGGCTCTTAATCTTACAATACCCCTGTCTGTGCCTTTTATTAAAAATCATGTCATTACTTTTTTGAAGAGTTTAGGCCAGTTGTCTTGTATAATGTCATGTGTTCTAGATTTTTATGATTTGTCTCGGTTTGTTCTCATGGATTAGGTTCACATTACGTTTTTGTCAAGAATACTTAATAGCTGATGTCATTTGCTTACTGCATCATATCAGAGGATACATAGTGTCTGCTTGTCCCTGTGTTGGTGGTTCTACATCTGATCATTTGGTTAAGATTGCTCTATTATGAAGGTGCCTTTCTCTTCTGTAGTTAATAATCGCCTGTGAACTTAATTATCTTGTTTGCATTGGGCTGACGCTAAGGCTGAGCATTGCTGGAAAAAAAAATCACAAAACAGCGTCTATTTGTGGCATTATAAATTCATGACTATTAATCTCACTGGATTTCTGTACTGCAAGATAATCCTACTGTGTTCCTCTAGTCAGCTTGTGTTCCCCCTCTCCACAATGATGATTTAAGATCTTTCTCTTCTCAAGCCTTTGTTCCTTTATCTTTTGTATCATTTTGAAAAGGGGATCTTGATTTCTTCTACTTCCCAGAAGAAGGAAAGGGGTGCCTCTTCTTCCATCATAAACTAGCACAATGGAGTAGTTAAGAGTGCTGGCAATAGAGTTGAGAGTGAATGGTTTTGGATCCCACTTTCACTACTCACTCATTTCAGTTTGGGTTTAAATCATTCTATCTTGGTCTTAATTACAGAAGAATTACCATTGTACCTCATAGAGTAGTTTGTGAGGTTTAAATAAGGTAAATCATTGTAAAATCATTAGCATAGTGCCTGGTATATAGTACATGTGCAATAGATATTAGCTCTTATTATACCATTTCTTAAAAAATTTACTGTGTGAATTACACTGTCTTCTGTATCTTCAACCTCTCCTATTCTGTTCACCTCTTCCTTAGGCACTTAAACTTAACACAGATTTTTCCATTTATTCATCCCATTGTATTCTGGTTTCTGCTCCCACCATTCCACTAAACTGCCCCCGATAAAGTCACCGTTCCATCTCTAAATTCATTTTTATTACCCTTACCCTTAGTGCTTCCATTTCATTCTTCATAAGAGATCAATAGTGCAGCTGTGAGCTCATCATTCTCTTGTAAAAACTAGTGGGTTTCAATTGTTTTTGACATAAAATCTCAAATCATTAATATAGTTCATTGGTCCTGCCTAACTACCCATACTGATCTTGTACACATGTCCTCTTCAGGCTAAGCACTTGAGCCCACTAAGTCCTTTGATTTTCTTCAACAAGCTTTACTCACACCAGAGCATTTGCATTTTGTCCCCACTTTTGGACCACTCTTTATTTTCCACCTGTTTCTTTGGATAGTGTCTGGTTTCAGCTCAAAAGTCATATTCTCAATAAAACCTTCCCTGATCTAGTTCAGAAGAAGTGCAGCATCTGTACTTTAACTTCATATCACTTATTACAATTATAATTAAATAATGAATTGGGTAATTCTCTGGAATGTGAGCCCCATGAAGGCAGGCACTATAACCATCATGTTCATCGATGTATCTCCAGATTCTGCTAGTACAGTGGTTTTGCTAAGAGGTATTTGATAAGTACTTGTTGAATGAAGAATGAATTACTATTATTTAGCCATAGAAATGTCACTTATCTCTGTATTATTTATTTGAAGTTTCTGTGTATTTTATGGAGGTTCCCCTGAAGACTTGTACCGCCTTTTTCCAGATGGTCTGAAAGGATAGCCTTAAGTGGCTGCTGCATACAAGTGATATCTTTGAAATTGATTTTATCTTAATTTCTTAAAAAAATGTTTATTTTTGAGAGAGAGAGTGTGAGTAGGGGAGGGGCAGAAAGAGAGGGGGACAGAAGCTCTGAAGCAGGCTCTGGGCTGACAGCAGTGAGCCAGATATGGGCTTGAACTCATGAACCGTTAAGATCATGACCTGAGCTGAAGTTGGACACTTAACTGACTGAGCCACCCAGGTGCCCCTCTTTAATTTTTTTAATTTAATGTATTTTTAATTTTATTTTTTTATATGTTTATTTTTGAGAGAGAGGGGAGAGAGAGTGCATATGTGTGGGAGAGGCAGAGAGAGAGAGAGAGAGAGAGAGAGAGAGAGAGAGAGAGGAACAGAGTATCTGAAGTGGGCTCTATGCTGATGGCAGAGAGCCTAGTATGGGTTTGAACTCATTAACTGTGAGATCATGACCTGAGCTGAAGTTGGCCCCTTAACCGACTGAGCCACCCAGGTGCCCCTTTAATTTTTTTTTAAAGTAAGCTCTGGCTCAGTGTGGGGCTTAAATTTAAGATGACCCCCCTCCCCCCCAAATCAGGAGTCGCATGCTTTACCAACTAAGCCAGCCAGGCACCCAAGATCAGTTTTATCTTTAAAATATTTGAACACTTTGCTTTGTGTTTCCTAATATTCTTTTTTT